ACTGCTGGGGTGCACATCAGAGCCTGTGCTTCTGCCCTTCCGGGCCTCTGCAGTGCAGCAGGAAAGACCAGAGCTCCCCCGTGCATATGTAACTGCTTCAGTGCTTCAGTAGGAGTGTATAAGTAAAAGTTCATTCCGACTCATGGACTCGGGTGAGCCACATTCATACAAGATCTGGCATTGGCACTGCATCTAAAAAAGGCGTGTAGAAGTCAGTGGGTAAAGATGGAAGGTACGGTCCGTCTCGTCTGCAGACAGTCCGTCATTCAGCTGAGCAGAAGCAGCACGTGGCAGGTGAACATTTAGATTTTGTTATAAGGCACAGATCACCAGAGAGACAGAAAGTGAGAAATTGCCCCCCAGGGGGCATGGCCACACTGCAGCCCCTCCTCCTCCTTTCTCGCATGCATGTAACCCCTGGCACAAGTTTTTGTTTTGTTTTGTTTGCTAAAGGGTGTGTGCACTCGCCAGACAGAGACAGACAGAGAGAAAGTGAGAAATCACCCCCCAGGAGGGATGGCCACGCTGCAATCCCTTCTCCTCCATTCTCTTCTTGGGATCTTGGGCACACACGCACACGCGCCCGGTGTGAGTTCTAAGCCACTGGGTCCGGGACTTGAACCGTGGTCGACTACGTGGGAGACCAGCGACATAGCCATTACGCTAACTGCTGGTTCCCGGAAACTGCTTTTGAAAGTGACAGCTTAGAGAAGCCCAGGGTGTCGTTACCAGGCGTGCCGCTGTACACTGGCCTGTGCTGTAATGTAAGGTGTGTTTTGTCTCGTCCCAGGTTCTTGTCACAGAGCTCCTAAGCCCCAGCCTGTGTGAGCAGGTGACAGCAAGTGGCCCTTAGAGAGCTTTAGGGTGGGGCTGGCAATGGGACCCGTGATTAGAGGTTGGCATTCCCGGCCCCACCCATCCACCTCTGGGAAAGGAGGGGATGCGAGGGCCGAGGCCCAGCACGGACGCCCCCTGCCCCGTGCCTCTCTTCTGCCCGCCTTGTCCTGAGTTCCGTCACAGACCCGTAAACGTAAGTGTTCCCCTGGTTTCGTAAGTCATCCTAGCCAATTGCCGACCCTGAGGAGCGGGTCGTGGGAACCCGGGTTTCAGCCACTCAGTCAGAAACAGGCCACAGCCTGGGCCTCGCAGTTGGCATCTGAAGTGGGGTGGCCGTGGGACTGAGCCTTAGCTGTGGGAGTCAACGCTGTCTCCAGCGGGCGACTGGAGGACACGCTGTTGGTGTCCACTGGGTTTGCTCAGGGTGAGGCCCATCACACCTGGAGTTAGACCTGCACTGAGGGGGTCAGAAGGATTGTGTAGGGGTACGGGGGCACTTGTAAAAGCTCGTGGAATACGGAATTAAAGTATGAAATCCACGCGTGTTTTTCCGTAATGTGCATTTTCCATGAATTGTTTGAAGACCCTGGTAGAGAGTGTTTGCCCAGGGCCCTCCCGTTCTGTCTCCCTGAGGGTGGAGTAAGCGGGCCCCGGCCCAGCCATTCCTTATCAGGCTGTTTATTCTCAGCCAGCAACCAGGGTTCCTCCAGCCTCCCCTCAGCTCCCCTGCCTGTGACTGGCCAGCTGTCCCCTAACCCGGCGGCATTTTGTACTGTTCCTGAGGTCGAAAACCAGGATGCCTGGGCCAGCAGATGGCATAGCAGCTGTGTGGCTGGATTCCCATGTGGCTGACCACAGTTCGAGTCCTAGACCCAGGGACTTGAAACTCAGGTCAGGCGCATGTGTGTGCATGCCCAAGATCCTGGGAGGAGAATGGGGGAGAAGGGATTGAGGCGTGGCCATCCCCTCTGGGGTGTGATGTCTTACTTTCACTCTCACCGTCTCTGTCTCCCCAGCAAGCGCACATGCCCTAAGACAAAATCCTCTGCAAAAAAAAAAGGAAAAGAAAAGCACAACGCCAAAGGGGACGAAGCACAGGAGTGGGTGCTGTCACTGAGCGTTACGGAGTGGGGCGGTCAGCAGGACCACCGCCATCTTGAATTCCGCACAATGCGGCCCTCACACTGAGCCCTCTCTCTTGGAGGCCTGGCGGCCTGTTGCAGTCTCATCTGAGTAGCAGGATGTTTTCTCGTCGGTTTATACTTGCAGTACCCGTCAGAGTGCTGGCCAAACTGGGAAGGCCTCCATTCAGCCTGAGACACCTGTCCCTGTGTGCCAAGCTCGTTGCAACCTCTCTTGCCCTTTTTCAGCTCCTCCCTACTTCCAGAAAAGCAGCGGGATTCATCTTCCTCCGTTTTAGGAATTATTTTAACATTTCCTCTAGAGAAGCTCACCCATGCATGGAGCTGGGAGACACTGCAGGCCGTGCGGGCTGAGCGTTCCCTGGTCTCCGGATGGCTCCGTCAGCACCTCCTTTCCACACGGATCTGGAGCGATTTCCAGATGCGGTCAGGTCACTTGCCGACCCTGGCTCTGCCCTCGGCAGTGCTCAGCCACGCAGAGTGGTCTCGGTGCCCCCCAGGCTCTGCTGGCAGGTTGGCCCCGTGCGGTGGTGCCGGGGACCAGCCTCGGCGGGAGTGGGTTGGCTCGACGGATGCGACGCTGGAAGGAAAGGAAGACTTAAGGCCTCATGCCTTTTCATGCACGTCCTCAGCCGGACACTCCCAGAGATCGCTCTCTGAGGAGTGACAACTGTTAGGAATTATCGTGCCTTTTTATTGAAAATGTGATACATGCAAGTAAATGGGAGAGGGGCTACGTGTACTAATTATCAATGCATAAAGTTTTAACAATAGAAACCATTCAGGGTTTGATTAAGGGCAGGTCTATTAATCATCAATACAGTTCAACAATTGTTTGATTGATGAAAGCAGGTTCCTGGTAACTTCAAGCAGTGCAGTTTCAGGAAACAATTCCAGCAAGCAGAGTTAACTATCAACCGATGTTCAGCAGCAGCTGTCTTATGATTACTGAAAGAAAATCTCAAGCATAGATATTAGTTCTTATGGGGGATACAGCCTTTTCAACTGGTGGTGAAGTGACTAATAAGTTAATGAAAAACTTTAAAATGGGTTTATGGTGTTGTGGATACACTTGTGTAGCCTATGGCACCACTGTTATGTATTTTGTTAGAACATTAGTTACCATGGGACGAGAGCGTCCTGGGTCAGCTTCGGCCTAGTCCTATTGTATGTAAAAAAGGTTATTTATATTAAATGTGTCTTGAAGGGCCTTCCAAAGATCAAGAAGAACTTTAGCACACCCTTTATTGTGCCCAATGAAGCATTGTAATTAACAGTAAGTGGTCAGGGTAAAGGGGAGCGGTCGGGGGACTTTTCGGGAAATCCTACCACACACTCAAGATGTATGAGGGAGCTATGTAATTCTTTTATAGTAGTATATCGGGGAGTCAGAGGGGGGACCACTTCCTAGAAAGGCTATCACAGTTCCAGAGCAAATAGCAAGCGGCCTTGCCAACATGCTAAATGACCCAAGCTTGTTCCAAGGTCGGGGGGCGTACAGTCGCGGCCTTGCCAACTTACTGAACCGACCGGAAGCGATGCTCAAAGGTCAAGGGGCTCAGACGGGTCCTGGAGCCCCACCAGGTTGGACTCCTCCACAGTGGGCCCCGTGTTGTGCTGGGTCGCGGGGTGTACGGTGCTCCTGCCTTCGCCATCTGGGAAGCAGTTGAGAAAAGGTGACTTTTCCTGTCGCTGCTCTCTCCCCGACCCACGGAGGACCCAGGACGGTGATCTAGCCGGGAAAACGAGCGCGGGTTTTACCTCCCATCCCCTGGCGGGGAGACGGCCCCTGGCTCGCTTACCTGGACCGGAAGGGTGATGAAGAGCGGCCCTGGGAAAGCCCTTCTCGGGTCTCTGAGGGCCACATGCTTCCGTAGTGATGAGGATGGTTCGCGTGCTCGCCACCCACGGGATGTCCCCTCTGGTGGCCCCGCACGGCAGGAGGTTGAGACGTGTGCGTTCTGTGTGTGGCAGAAACCAAGGTCCCGACGCGTTGTGTAAGGGAGGAAGCTGGTGAGTGCTGGGCGTGGGAGCTGGCTGGGTTTCTCTTCGGTCTCCAGATAGTGTTGTCCTCGTAATACCGTGAAGCCCCACCAGGCCTTTCTGTGCTAAGTGTTGGGATAGTCCTGTTCCTGGGCAGTCTGAACTCATGACGGCCTCAGCCCTTATCTCCTGGAAAACTAAGATCTCTGCCTCCTAGAGCATTGCATGGCCAGCAGCATGGGCTGGTGGGCGGTGGTTCGAAGGCCACTGGGTTTGCAGTTGGCAAAGAGCTGCCCCTTGGCAGGAGGCTGCGAGGGTGCACTGCTGACTCGCCGGTTCCTTCAGTGACCCGGAGACAGAGACTGGGGCACTGGGAAGCTGGGCCTGCCTGCCTGGGGGCTGTGGCCTGCCCACGGTTCTGCTGGCCTACCCACGGGACTGCTGGCCTACTCGCGGGGCTGCTGGCCTTCCCACAAGGCTGCGGCCTGCCCACGGGTCTGTGGCCTACCCACTGGGCTGCTGGCCTACCCACGGGACTGCTGCCCTACTCGCGGGGTTGCTGGCCTTCCCACAAGGCTGCAGCCTGCCCACGGGGCTGTTGGCCTACCCACGGGGCTGCAGTTTCCAGCTCTTCCTAGCTTTGGGTCCAGCAGTCATGGAGGACTGCTGTGGGCGTGCCCCTTGGCTACCGTCTGATCTCAGTGCAGAATAGAACGGAGGTGCTCACCTGATCCACACGGC